GCAGGTTGGATCTCTGTCAGGTTTCAGTTTGTGCTGAGTTAAGGCTCACCGGGCAGATGAAGGTCGTGCTCCCACACTCGTGTCTCCTCGGGATCTTGCACCATCAGCATCACTTCCTCTGCGTTCGTTGTCAGGATGATCTCAAAGGTCGGGTGGTAATTTGGTCCGTAATTTTCAAAAAACTCTGCACGCTGAAGCGAAATGGAAACGCACAATTTAAAACAGCTTTGTGGACAAAGTGTCTGCTGACACTCAGCGACTGATACTCACTGCAGGCTGTATTTTAAAGTGGTGCGGGGCGCTGCTCAGACTGTACTTTTGACCTTTGTGGAAATAACAGAAGGACGGCGCTTCGATGTGCTCTGAAGCAGCGTGCTGCGCTTTCACCTTCAGAGACATCACAACATTTTCTTAGTGCATGAATAGTTTCAGAGCTTCACAGCAAACAGATGCAGAACAATCAGAGGATTTATTCATGCAGAAGCCATTTAATGATTTCATGATAAAGTCATACGTCGTGCAGAGGGACGTTTCCTGGGAGCAGCATCACACTGAGGATGGGGCGTGGCCTGTTTCTCAGGAAGAGCAGGACTTGGCCACGAACGGGTTTCGTCATGTAATTGAAAAACCGCTCAACGAGATCCCAGACGAGGCCAAAGGCGGAGAGGTGAGGGACGTCCACGACCACGTGAGTCTCAGTGATCTCCAGAGGCTGTATGATGCTCATGCCATCATCCGTGATGTGGACCACAGAGATGCTGTCAGAGACCAGTGCTGGGAAAACACACAGCTTCGTTCACTGCAACAGCCTCCAGAAACTTTCCATGGAAAGCAAATCAGAGCATTTTCTGCAGGTTTAATTCTCCTTCAGGTGGTTCAGTGGCGTCCTTACCCGGCTCAGGCTCACAGTGTGGGAGGTGCAGCTGACGTATAGAGTCCCGAGGACACTCGATGCCGAACAGCGGGCCTCCGGCCACTTTGTGCGCTGGTTGGAGGACCAGAGGATCCCAGATCAGAGTCTTGTAGGTGACCTCACTCTCACGAGTCACATCAAAGACCAGACCAGTCAAAGAACACTGGAACAACCCTGGACCGGGAAACAGGAACCTGAACGACACACAACGGTTCAATATGGAGCTCAATGCTGTAGCTGTTAAATTCAGTCTAATTTCTGTTTGTATAGCTATTCGTCTCTAATGTGCTTTCAATTACGAAGTAAAAACCCTACAATCTTAGTGACAGAACTGAAATTCTAAAATGATGCTCTTGGTGATCATGAGAAGAAATAACTTTTAACAGGAAAGGCCGCTGACAGAAGCAGCTCAGGGAGGTGCAGCTACCCATGTGACTGGTTGGAGATCAGACAAGGTTGGGTGTGGTCATGGCGGTGACTAAATGTCTTCCTATTAGTTATTATTAACCTGGGAATAAGAGGACAGTTTCAGATAACAGGGATTGAAAACTGCCAGCGTTAAACAACAAACACAGAAGAACGCAGGAGGAACTTTCAGCTGTGTGACCAGAACAGCATGTAAGTGTGTGGTCAGGACAAACATGAGAGTGAATGCTATACCAGTTCACTTAATGCATACAACAAGCAAACCTGCGTCTTTGCTATGAGTAGATACACCTGCCACCACATGGATGAGATGATAAACTTCTACTGTGCAGCAACATTAACTAGTGTTTCCTGTTTCAGCTGTTCATCAGCTCTTTGAGGGCGGGGTCAGGATACTGTTAGTAAGACATTGGTAAACCATGAAGCATAAATAAATATAAAATCATACATTTTCACTACAGGTCTGCTGGGAAGGTAAAGCTCTGAACATATTTAATAAGCACTGAAAGCAAGACTGAACCTTTTGCAACTGAGGGCACGTTGACAGGGTCTACAGTGAGTCTGAACACACTTTAAGACCAGCACAATCTGAC